AAATTCTCTAATGCTGCTTGTTTGCTTTGATAGTATTCAGTGAGAGCATGTTCTATGAAACAGTCTTTCATCAGTTCAAATCCTTGGAGACATTGCAAGTGTTGCAGTGAGAGTTGGCTGGTTGTGTCCGGGCTCTAAAAGTCGGGAAACTAATCGCCAGTATAAATGGATGGAGTGAATGGTCGCAAAGTTTCTGTACTTGCCTGGTCACAAAACGTTAGACATTCGTCACTGACACCACCAGCTTTGCAACATTGTGTGTGGTTGACACCGCGAGCAGCGCAAAAGTGGATGTGAGGCAAAGCAGTAACTGGGCACGTCGATGTCATGCCAAGAACTGAGTGTACCTGAAGATATTGGCTGTTTTTATGGCAAGGAAGTAAATTAACTAAATTTTGAGATGTAATAAGGCGTAAGAAAGGTGTGCGTGTGTGTTCTCTTTGAGTTATTACTCTCTAATCTTTATGTACTGTTTGAAGAGGGTCAGATAGAGAAAATGCACTTACTGATGAGGAGTTGTATCCATCAAAGGTGCACATTGCCAAGCATTGCACAGGAACCTCGAGTAGTCCACAGCAGTTTAAAAAGTGCTCGTTTGGATCCTGTAATACTGCAAGTTTGCGCGATATCTTGATATAAGATTTTTAAAGTAAAAGCTGAGGTAAAAATAAAAGTTGTCTTCAAATGACTTTTTTGAAATTACTGGTAGAAATCTACGGATAATCTCATCTTTTTAATCAAAGGTTTCAAACTGATCAAGATTTCATAAGTATCTCGATAATGGTAGTAGTTATTTAATTTGTACTTCACGAAAATGCAATAGGAAGAGCCAAAACGTCTACAGTCTCATCTTCATCGTAACCACAGAACCGGTTCTTACATGGGCATGACCACTTGAAAAGGAGTTCATTGTAAAAGCTCTTCAATTCCACAAAACTTTGTAGAATAATTTGGATGTTTTTTAAAACGTACCTCGGTATTTGAAGCTGAATTTGTTTTCTCCTCAATATAAGTTTTCGCAGCTCTCGCTCGAGCCGTGCAAGCTCGTCCATAACACTGAAAGAAAATATGGATTATACGAAATTTAAGGGTGCATTTTCGTTCAACCTTTTCAGGGCAGTGAAAGTTTTAAGAGATGGTAAGCCATCTATACTGCATAGAGGAATTTTCAGATTATAGCGTAATAGGTTTTAAAAGGTCCCCAACTTCCAGGTGAAAAATTGCATCATTTCTCGAATTCAAGAAAAGTATCTCAAAAGGTTCAGAGCTAAGTTGATCAGTTCGCTATATTCCTCTTGATTATCATTTAAATCGAACGTCAATCTGATTGTATTCAACCTTCTCACCGGCATGCATATTCCAAATGGTACACAGTTACA